AGTAGTATATATATATATATATATATATATATATATATATATATATTATATATAAAATAACAAAGGAGAAGAAAGACGTGATAAACGACTGAAAAGTTTCAACTGCTAGCGTACGCGCGTTTAGATCACGATAAAAAATAAGTAAAACAAAAGGCCAACGATATGGCCGATGACAGCAAACGCGCTACATTCTGTCTCGTAGATAAGCATCGCATATATAAAACGTTGCTACTCGCCTCGCGTCCCTCGAGTCCCTCCTCGACTTCTCTCACGAACGGTTAGATATCGACAATTTAAAAGCCGATCGTAAACTACTAGCCGTGATTTTTATCACGATGGTACAAGACGCTCTCGTTGTATCCTCTTTTTCCGAACGTTACTGTTATCGTTTCTTTTACACCAAAATGATATCAATTTTAATAATATGATAATTTCTTCTCTCCTTCCTCTCACTTTTTCTAAAAAATATAATAAGCATATTATAGTATATTTGATTCTAAATAAAAACAATACATGTGTTATTATATATAAGCTGGAAAATTTGAAGTCTTAATATTGTCTTCTCATTTTTCAATTTTAATTACTCGGCAGTTTCTAGTCAGCAATTTTTTGCGTTTTATAAATGTAATTTTAAGCTACGTCTCACATTTCCGTGAGGAATGAAAATTCATGTTTCATCATGTGTCTATTACTTGAGCAAACAAAAGATTTACTTATGTGAGTCAAAACGACATATATATCGTACTAACTGATAAGCTAAAATAATAACATAGTGCGTACGCAACGCTCTTATACGAATGTCTGATACAGTTCACGATCATGAACGATAAGGATTAATCGTTCTACAAGACTTGCAACTAATGCGCTTATGATTAACGTGAGACACGGCAAAGTATTGCTGCGTGATGTTTGTTCCGCCGATTACTATCGTTTTTAATTACGATGCAATGCGCGCGATGAGTGTTCTCACATTAATACCGGCGGCACCTTACAACATTACAAATCACGGTTGGATCTCCGCGCCGTCATTTATTCCTTTATTCTTCTTCGCCGATATTGATAATTAAGTTACGTACACTGTTACCGCGCGGGATGATTATCCCGTGCCACGATTTTTCTCCGTTTCCGTCCCGCTTTTCGTGGGCGATAAGCTCACGTAGGCGGACGCAGCCGAAGTTAATGAATTGGAAGGAATAACGGCAATCAGCAAAATATAAATGAAGAATGGCTGATCTTTGGCTCGCATGTCACGTACGCACTGTACCACGGCGAGGGGTAGGTAGGTGAGAAATAGAGCTTAATCACACGAAAATCGTGGAGGGAGGATTAGGCCTCGTTACTGTGAATAGTAAAAATGAGAAAAATCTCTGTCTCTGCAGTATTCAATTGTATCTTGCTAGAAGGCACAAATCAACAATTGAAACAAAAGAATCGGCATTGTAAGATAGATTGCATTAAAGAAATCCAAAACTGACCGTTAATTGCTTCGGCATTCGATATTATTGTCTCCGAGTGTCTCGCGCGTTTAATTATGTAACGTCACTATGAGGGGTGTTTCCAGAACGGCGGGAAAGGAGCCATTCTTAGCCAAGCGAATGGTGCCGATTAATAAAAGCGGAGAAGCTCGGTGTGGAACTACGAAGGATTTTCCAGTCACGTTCGCCTTGGCCGGGAGTTAATTTACGAAATAAATAATATCTTCTTCTCGCACCGCTTGCCGAGGAGCGGAGGGGAGCGAAGATAGAGAGAGTCGGAAGCGGGTAGAAGACGAAGGCGGGAGCAGGGGGGAGAAGTCGCGGAGAACATCGGAGGAGATATGGCGAAGGTCGAGGGACCAGGGGAGAGACTCATAAAGCTGCCTACGTGTCGAGCGTAATGAGAACCGGTGATTTTTCTTTCCGCGCTCGCGAATGTAAAAGAAAAATGAAGGCGCGCTCTTTCTTTTCTCCCGGGGGAGAAAAGGGGGAGGGGGCGTCGGTGTATGGGTGCCACCGCTGTGGTTGCCGCAGGTGCCGTCGCCACCGCCGTGTGTGTACCAGAAATCCTCCTCCGTTTGATACCACGCCGTCGGGTCAGCGAATCTCCGGAAATCAACGCGATCTTGTATATAAAGCAAAATCGGATCACGAGTGCAGCTGAAATAAAATCGTTAACGCCGTGATTGCGTAGGATAGTTTATCTGCTTGGAGAATGCAAATTTCTGCTTAGAAAATGCAAATGATGGAAATTTGTTTCTAAATTTTCTGGACATTCTATTGTGCACGAGATCGTATGTCACATTTCGCGAATGAAAAGAGTTGAAATAAATCTGCTGAAAAATTATCAAAGCATATTATTCGTACGCGCGTGAGGATCAATATTAATTGAAATATTATGTGATACTCGTAATAGTTTTTTAGCATTTTATTACCATAAAGTGGCGTAATTAAAAACGATGAAAAATGCGAAGTGACGTATCATATATCGTGTACCACGTCGATGAACGAATCCCAAGGAGGTTTTATACTCGCGGTCCATCCGGGTACCTAATACCCGGGGCATATACACGGGCATCATTTTTATAGCGGCAATTTCATTTGAGCCTCGACTCATGCAGTGGTTTCTGATGAGCGAACTAAAGCAACCCTCTTCCTCCGCCGTCGGCTCTACCTCTCACCCCTTCTCCGGATCGCCCTTCTTTTTCCCTCCCACCCCCGCCGCGACGCCATCTTTTCATTAAAACGGTTCATCTGTGAGCCGTGCCGAGGCGCTGCCCTTCTCCTCTGGATCTTCCGATGGTGAAGAGCAGGCGATGAAGAGAGGAAACGGGACAGAGAGGGAGAAGGCAGAAGAAACAGCGGAAGAAGAGGAAGTCGGTCCGAGGTAAAGACCGAAAGGGGAGGGGAAGGTGGCTTCGCTAAGTTTTCCTTCGTTTCATATCTCAACTCACCCACCCCCTTTCTCGTCGGCCCCCTTCCCCCACTCACCCCTGGACCAGACCGGCTAGGCGTGCTCTGATTAATGCCCCCGCTAATAACGTCTTCTCCCCGAGGAAAACCAACCCCCGCTACCGTCATCCCCGCTACCAATCCGGCGAAGCAGACTTATGCGGAATTAAAAACACATCTCGCAAGCTATGGCGAGTTATTGCGGCGGGCATTGTCTCCGATCTTCCGCGTCGGTGAACTGTTTTTCGAAGGCATCCTCTCTGCAACCCCCGAGTCACGGTCGTTGTGAGATAAAGGCATACTGCTCGTTTATAAGATTCATAGCTGCAACTTATGATGTTACTCTGGGAGCATCGAGACATATATAATATATGTGCATCCAAACATTTTATCTTTTCAAAACAATATATCAGAGCGTTAATTATAGTAACATCTTGTTTCTGGATATGCATTTTTTTATGTAAATCCAAAATATTATTTATAATTTTTAACACCACAGAATCTTGCTGACAAATATGTTATACTTGCATTTTTAACATTTATTTTTGTGCTTATTGATAAATTATTTCACATGTAAGAATTGCTTTCGCGTGAAAAATAACAATTTATATGAAACTAAAGATCCAGCAACAATCAATAGAATTGATTAAATCTAATTAAAAATTTTGTTTTAATTCACTGGAAATCTTTGCGACAATAATCACGGCACTTTTCACGCAATGGCACGTCAAGCGAAATCACCGTGTAAAAGCGCGGCAATTTGTAAATCTCGTTTTTCATCGGAGAGACCAATCTCTCGCACGGAGGACGAGTGCAGTTTCACCTCCGCGTTTTGTTCGTCTCGCGGTATCGCGTAGAGCGCACAATGCCGTTTTCTCTTCCTTGTGCAATTGCTTCTCTTTTTCGTCTATTTTTTTCTTCGGTCAAAGAATCCGCCTCTTTCCGCGAGAACATGTGGAATTCCCTGCGAAGTGCGGGCGCAAAGAGGCGAACGCGCCGCGGGAGAGAACTGTCAGACTGTCGTCACCTCCGCACCGGTCTGTCGTTGATTAATGACGGTAATATTCCGCCGTATACGGTGACCCGACCGTAGCCGACACGAAACCCACACCGTCTGTTGTATATAAACGGTACTGCCGTTGTACCGCGACACTACGCTCTCCTTCCCTGCCTGCTTTTACAGTGTCAACCACGGTCGTCGGCAAGAAACGTGCCGCCCATTGTAGGATTAGCGCAGATCTTCGGCTTTCCGCTAAATCATTCTCCGCCAGACATGGCTATACATATATCGCGATCGTCATTTCGAAAGTAACTCTCATCGATTTCACACGCTGAATCGATTGCTGAAAATTATATGTTTAATCACTACGTTTATCTCTTCAGAGATAATTGAACAATTAACATTTATCGCGCCGTTGATAATCGGCGCAATATTATTAAATGTATGTAATTCTCATTTTATTGCAACAATGATTATTCTTTTTCAAAAGTTTCAATAATAAATTTCTATATACAATCAAGAAGTAGTAGCCGACAAGTCTCTTCAGGCTCTAGCCGAAGCAACGAGCCGCAAAAACTGCCGTCTGAGAAATTCTCACTTCCATATTAAGCGAGCACTCTTTGCGAAGATCTTTAATTATTCAAGTATTACGTCTTCCGTTCAACGCGTACGTGACCAATTATTTCAACCGCTTATTTGTTCGCTTAATTCGGATTTCTGCTCCAGGTGTAATTCGTCGCATCGTGAACTTTTCCGAGAAACAACACCTTTGTGGTACGCGAGAGCACCCAGCCCAATCAAGCCAAACCGGACGAGAGAGTAAACCTGAATAAAACCGACGGTGGAATCTCGCGTTAATAACAGATGCAATCATGTCACCTTGTTGGAACGAAGCGGAGGAAGGACGAAAGGGTTTCGCGGGGCTCAGCCGGTGGAAGATGATACTCGGGGCTGTTCCCACGTCGTTAACCAATCTCCTACCATGGATCTCACTAGCAGCGAAGTCGACAAAGGCGTTTTTGCATCGCCTCTAAGACCGTGAACTGTCACGATTTTCTTGCAGCAGTTGGATGTACAGGTATTCATTCCAAACTGAAAACTTGCGTGAATTATTTAAGCTTGTTTATCCTTTCGATTTTTTCGTGGCTCATACTATAATCTTTCTCGGGATTTATAGATCAATATTGAAAACATATAATTTTAATAATTAATTTCTGTGATTTGTGAAAGAGTCCCTTTTTTTTAGTAAATTTTTTCTTTGTTACAAAACAACATAAATGCACTTTTCACTAGAAAAGTGATTATAAAAATGTTATGACATGTTCTTACAAAATAACATAAATGCACTTTTCACTGGAAAAGTGATTATAACAATGTTATGACAAAGACAATTTGGCCATTATACGAAAGAGCATTTATAGCACATCGAAATCGTATCTTGAAAACAACTGTATTAACTGCATTTAACATCAAGTAAGTAAGAAGGGGCATAAGGTGAAAGATCTCGTTCACGAGAAAGATGATGATTTCGAGAGAGCGTGTTCAGGCAGGCGTGACAGCTCGTTAGCCAGGATATTCGATTGGATCTCGATCTATTAGGTATCGGCATCAGTATCATACCCAACACTTAGATATATATTCCTGCCTTATCTCTCTCTCTCTCTCTCTCTCTCTTTCTTCCTCATCTTTACTCCCTTGAGAGGATAAGTGTAGCAGATGATTTGGTCTTTATCACAAAATAATGATAAGCTAGATAGTAAACGAACAAATTCGTATAGAATAGAAAAAAAATAAGAGAGAAACAGCAGAAAAGATCAGCGCGCAAAAATTGTAACAAATTCTGTTTACAGCTACTAGAAATAATTTTTATTACATTTACAAAAGTTAGATTAATAATTAAGATTACACTTCCTGATAATAAAATTTTAATTCAATTTATAAGAAAATTTTAACTTGACAAATATTAAATAGATGCAGATAAGAGCATTTATCTCGAAAAAGCTTAGAAATTTGTCAAAATAATGTTTTTGTGAAAGATATATTTTGTAGAATAAATTTTCCCTATGATTAACAATAAGAAAACATAAGTGTACTTGAGAAAGATCTTCGATAATCCTTAAGGATGACTCGCAAGATGCGACCGATGAAAGCGCGTAAGTGGAAGGATCAATTAGCAATCATCGGCGTGGACAGGATAATTTCGTTACCGTTACCAATCGTCCGTAAATTCGATTTCGCATTAAAGCTCGTTACGCGATCGATTCGATTAGATTAATGGATAATACACTGCCTAACGATCCAAGGGAAAGATGAGAAAGAAAGCGCAATCTAGTTCGAAGTCCGTCGAATTGCAATCGGTACAATCTGGTTCATCGTACTCATATTATCTTTGCCTCGTGCTAAATCTTTTAATACGAATGTTTGCAGGTAAATAGCCCGCGCACATTGTCGGAAACGTCATTATTGCCTGTGTGGTTTATCCTATCCAACTAAATCGTTGATCATCGATTGGATTAGCTCGGCGCAATACACCGATATCTTTGATACAGATAACACTTCAGGTACGTTCGATAAAAAGTAATGATGTTTAATATGTACAATTTTTTCTCGCTCAAATTTAGAAACTGCACCCTAAATTAAAATTAATAGTATGTTCAATCGCATTCTTTCGAAATGTGAAAAGTCAATATAAAGCACTGAATAATATCGCGTATAATTATTCTCATCTTACACGTAACGGCTCGTTCGCAAAGAGATTACTGCGCGTAGTACACGTAAGCCGCGAAGGAATCCCGTAGTCGGTGGCAACCGGTTAACTCTATGGAATATTATATATGTAGACGGCCGGAGGTAGACTGACGCGATCTCTATTAACCCCGCGTCGCAAGCCATTTCGTTCGCGGGTCGTCCGCGGGGCTTCTCTCGGTTGATAGGGTTCAATCCTGGTGTGCAGCTACCGGTCGCGCTACCGCCGAGAGACTGTCCGTTCACGACAGCGGCGTCATTACGCGCACGTGTAATCCATTCGATCCTCGTTACTGCGACGTCTCCCGCTATGTTAACACCTGCAAGGATCAAGTGCGCACTCGACGAGAAGCGCTGGCCGAGAGGCGTGATGATTGCGAATAAATTCGCAATCGAATTCGACGTTTCGACGCATAGATGAGTTACGCTCATACTTCGAGAAGAAAGCCAAACCGAACTGCGTGAGGCACGGTAGTCTGTTTGTCTTTGTTTAGTCTTTTACGACGTGAAATTTTTCACCTACGAAATACTTTAGCGATCGTGCGAAAAGCGCATCAAAAAGACTTTTAAGGGTTATCTATAAATTTTTGATACTGCAATACACACATTTACATCTACATTACTTTTAAATAATGTATTAATCAGAATTAATTTAGGCGCGTCATATATGTGTTTTAATATAGTTTATTATAAAAAAATCATTAATTGAGAATCAAAATTTGATGTTTTAAGAATTAATATTATCAAGATTTTATTGATCTAAAAAAATTGTATTACGAAAAACCCGCACGATTCTCAATTATGAGTGCAACCTTCTTCATCGGCAACCTCGCAAACCTTTAGAGAGGTGTGACTTTCGAGATAGACGAGGTGTAATCCGGTACATAAAGTAACAAGGAGCTTTTACAATTGAACTTTGCCCTCAGGAATGGGCTATTAGCGCGGATACCCGGACAGATAGACATATTCGCGTTGATAGCCCATTCCTATAGCATGTGCACGCGCTTGTACACGCATATAATAGTAACGCACGTAATAGTAACCGACTATTATGACTTAACACCTTTGGTTTATTCGACAATACGTACGCATTCAGAGCAAGCGAGACGAACAGCGACTGTTTTAGCAATCGTGCAGAAGCTATGAAACTTGAACACGTACTCAACAATATGTCATAACCAAAAGAATTTCTAAAACTTAAATTTTTATCATTTTATATATAGGATGCGGCGGTAAATATGATACATATAGATATAGGATGCTATTTTATTAAAAAATAAATCGGAATTTTGAAATATATTTTTGTCATACGTCTCTTTTTAGAGAAAAATAATTTTAAATTTTCAAAAAAATTACTTTGCATATTTTGATAACAAAATTTGTATTTACTAAAGCTGTAATTTGTTTTAATTTGCGGTTTGATCATCTCGGCGATTAACAATATATTAATCGAGAATGCTAACGATAAATAATATGTTTCAGCAATTATTCGTTATTTTAATGAACACAAATACGCATTCGTACTTTTACATTTTCAATAAAAATCTATATTTGTTATTACCTTTTATATAATATAATATAATATATTATATTATATTATATAATAAGTAAAATACAGACAAAATGTAAATAAAATTAATCGCGGAACATTTATGTTTTACGTTTCAAAATAATACAGTGTCAAAACAGGATGACTGAAATGGGCGCGCACATTGAAGATATCGATATATCGAAATCGAATCTAAGCGAGAATTTATGCGCGCCGCATTCCGGCCGTTCCTTATTTGCGTCGCGTTGTCTCTGAACGTAGAACGCGCGTAAACTTTGCAGTTAATTGCGTATTTTACTAGTTAAAAGTATAATAAGTACGAATTTTCGTCGGAAGTGTAAATTAATATGACGCTTAATTGCTAAAACGTATTATTTGCTGCTAGTGTTCGCGATTAATGATGATTTCGATGATCAATCAAAGCGCGAATTGAAATAGGTTATAATTTTAATAACGATCTTTTCAAGACTATTAAGATCATCTTTTGTTTCGCTCACTCAAAATATGCACAGTGTTGAATTAATCATCGAATTAGCCGTCAAATATGTAAAATGAGAATAATTACGCGAGAATGCATCGAAGTGGAAAATAGTGTTCATATTACGTTTGCATCTCATGTATCGTGGTGTGATTTACAACGTAAAATCGTGTTTTTCTGTGAATTTATAAAAGTGAAAAGTTTGCGAGTTAATCTGTTATGTGTAACTTATTGGTGTGCATAGATTCTTCGTTGGAGCAAATACGTTGGAGCAACAATCTAAGGGGAAAGTGGCAGGTGGAGCATACTACAATATCCTAATTGGTGAAGATAATTATTCTTTATTAGTTAAATTTAATAATTATTTTTTTCTTATTTAAATGTATACAATTGTAATTGGATTTGTAATTGAGATATACACATATATATAATTACAATTTTTTATTTAATAAGTACTTATTTAAACGTTTAAAAATGTTTATCAAAACATTTATTGTCAATTTTTGTTAATATTTTAAATAATATTTATACAATGTATTGCATATAGAAATGGAAATCATTAGATCAATGCGTAATAACATATAATAGCATATATTAAATGTAATAATGACAATTTATTTTATAATTTATGAAGTAAAATATTAATTTTTGCAGGTATGGCTGATAAGCGTACTTAACTAGGATACAACAATTGGTGAGTGAAGTTATTTATTTGCATGATTACAAGAAATATCGATATGTATTGTTTACTTTTTATTCAACAATATTTATTGCATGTTTATTAAAATCGTGCTTTGACAATCACATTCTTGCCTACATTTTTATAATTAATGAAATATAAAACTGCTCCCTATTCTTAGTAAAAATTTCAAATTTAATACAGATCACACACATGTTTATTATATAATTTTTAATATGTGTAAAGTAAAAAATTTTTTAAATCTAAGTATTCTCCTTTTCTACCACAAATATATTTGTCTTATGATAAAAATTATTGCAGCTGAAGTAGCGATAAGTGCAAATATTTAAAAAAAGGATTTACATTACAGTATACATAATAGTATATATAATATATTCGACAGCTTAAGTGCAAGTTATGTTTGTTCCAGTTTATGCGTGGGGCTTGTTTACAAGTTTTTACAAGTCCCCACTCCAAAAATTTATACATGAACATTAATATCTTTTTTCCTGATGATATTTCGTATATTATAATTAGTTGAAGGAATTTTTAAATACGAGAAATTGTATATGTCTAACTCCATCTAGTGTGTGAAAGTTGACATATAATCCAAGATATATATATATATTGCCAAAATTGTGTCGCGCGATCAAGCAGCTTCTACATATATTCGGCAGTGTGTATGACATTCGACGCTTGTGTATATCAACTTTTATGTACTAGATGGAGGTTGACATGATGATTATCTCGTATTCAAAAATACGATCAACTTGTTATAATATGTAAGCGCTTTATATGTAATTTTCATTAATTTTTTTTTTTATTTTAGGTACTTTGCTGTTATTGTTTTGAAATTAATTTTTGTAGCACTGTGGGGATAGCACTATTCACTCCACGCATAAACTGGATAAACATAAATTATTACATTTATATATATATATATAGAACTTTATGATAAATCATGTATCTTAATGTTAGACTTCTTATTTGAATATATGCACATATTATTATTAGCATGAACTTAATTAATGAATAATAATTTGAGTGCGAATGTATTTTGTAAATATAAAAGCGAAAAAGTATCAGGGCCTGCTCTCTCGGATCGAATTATTGGTTCTCGGCGTACGAATATATAATTCTCTCGACTCGCGAATATCGGCGCGTCACTATTGTGATAATGATCCGCCGTTAGACTATTGTTGGACAATTTACACATTTTTATTTGTCAAGGAGTTGTTCACGAATAGCGATTTATTGGAGGATAAAATAGAAGATTTCTAATGCAACTCTCATTATTACTTTTGAACTTATTTGTAAATTCGACACGGATTTGTTAAGAACAAGAGCAAAAGGATTTATCATCAGGGCTTGAAATATTACATCGCAAACAAATTACAATTCGATCTAATTCGATCGATGTCACTGAACGAAGTAGATCAAGTTATAATTCGTTTGCGATGTAATATTTCAAGCACTCTCAAATTAAGAATATCACATTGCATTTTTTTATTACTTTCAAATTATTATTTTAATTTTATTTCGAATTATATTATTATTACATTATTACTATTACAATTTAGATTTATATTTATTAAAATTTTTTAAATCCAAGTAATTCTCCTTTTTCTACCAAATATATATTTGTCTTATGATAAAAATTATTGCAGCTGAAGTAGCGATAAGTGCAAATATTTATATAAAAGAAAGGATTTACATTACAGTATACATAATAGTATATATAATATATTCGACAGCTTAAGTGCAAGTTATGTTTGTTCCAGTTTATGCGTGGGGCTTGTTTACAAGTTTTTACAAGTCCCCACTCCAAAAATTTATACTTGAACATTAATATCTTTTTTCCTGATGATATTTCGTATATTATAATTAGTTGAAGGAATTTTTAAATACGAGAAATTGTATATGTCTAACTCCATCTAGTGTGTGAAAGTTGACATATAATCCAAGATATATATATATATTGCCAAAATTGTGTCGCGCGATCAAGCAGCTTCTACATATATTCGGCGTGTGTATGACATTCGACGCTTGTGTATATCAACTTTTATGTACTAGATGGAGTTTGACATGATGATTATCTCGTATTCAAAAATACGATCAACTTGTTATAATATGTAAGCGCTTTATATGTAGTTTTCATTATTTTTTTTTATTTTAGGTCAGGATTTTACTTAAATTTTTGGTACATTATTATGTTTTAAACATAATCAACTGGATAAGCATAAATTATTACATTATATATATATATATATAT